GTAAAGTTTACGGGTCCACACCCATACACTTTACTGTTACATGAACACTGTTAGGGTATTTAAGAGACGTGATCTCCGAATGTAATGTCCCTATCTGACAGGACTAAGCCAAATGAGCTGAGAGTCTTTCAAACTTCCTAAAACAATCAAGTTCCAGAACATCCAGTCTTGGATTCGAACCAGGGCCACCCGTTCCCCAGTCCAGCATGTTATAGTCTGTGCCGGCTTTAGACACGCCGGCAGAAAACGCGTTTCGGACTCAAGCACGCTAAACGGCTCTTACCGAAAAAATTTTAACATAAATTACGTTACCCGCCTTTAATTTATTAAGCACGATAACTTCGGGCATGCTTCATTTACAAGACAGTAAATACTTTCATGATGACCCATCGAAGTTAAGAAACTGAAGAAGCGAAAAAGCCCAGGTCCTGATAAAGTACACAATGAGATGCTACAAAACCTTAGTGAAAAAGCCAAATTGCTACTTCTTAAGCTCTACAACAGAACATATACCTAAAGCATGGAAACTAGCCACTATAAACCCAATCTTTACTTAAAAAGGAAAGAAGGCAAATGACCCCAAAAAATTACCGCCCAATATCAATCACGTCCTGCATTGGCAAGCTCTGTGAAAGAATCCTCAATTTTCGTCTACAAATGTATATTGGCGGCTTGAGTCTTCAGGTCTGATCTCACAGTGTCATGCAGGGTTCAGGTCAAAAGGCAGGACAGAAGACCAGCTCTACTGGATCGCTAACAACAACAACAACAACAATCCATCCAAGTTCGGCGCGGAGAGGAAGGCAGAGAGATGCACACAGCCGCGCGCGTGGACATACATGTAGGCCTATAGGATCTAGCCTTGGGCAAAGCTACACACAGACGAAAACAACAAAGAGAGTCGTGGAGACAAGAAAGGGAGGCTGGCTGCGATTTCACATTTGCCCCCCGCTATCCGATAACCCAGATTATGTATCACGCGCGAGGTGAGATTATGAAGGCAGTGGTACATATATATGTATGAATGTGGCTAAGCGGCCACTGTTACGAAGAGAGAGAAAGAGA